CCGGGCGGCCCTGGTCGGGGCAGGTGAGCAGGTGCAGGGGCGCTATCACTGCTATCCGCTCGTCCTCCGCGCGGACCGGACGGCTTTTTCTTACAGTCCGGTGGACCGGAGCGTTATCGGCGCCCCTGTGGCTGCCGACCAGACACACAAACCTACGTGACCAACAGCGCCGGGTCGGACCGGGAGCCGAGTAGACCGCGAGCGGACCGCCGTGGTCCGGCCCGCAGCCTCCAGCGCGGCCCTCCCTTCACTCCGATTACCGCCATACAGGCGCCGCAGCGTCGCGCCGCCGGCTGCCGGGCCGACCGCACTAACCACAAGCCGGCCGCTGCGCGGACCGCCTCATCTCGCTCTCTCTGCTCTCGGCTCTCTCCCTCCTGACCACCGCGCCGCCATCCGCGCCGCTCGCGCTGCCGCGGGCCTGGTTCTTGCCCTCGCGGTGCGGGAGCCCGCCGCGAGCCCTGCCGCCGGCGCTGGCTCGAGCGGGACTAACCAGAAGGCGGCGGAACACCGCCCATCGTCCCAACCGGCCACCAATCGGTCGCAGCCAATTACCGCCGCCGCCTAATGACCGCTAATTATCACCGGGGGAGCTCAGCGTGCGCGCACAGCGTATTTGCATTTGGCGGCGACGGCGACGGTATCTCTGCCGAGGCAGTGGCGGAGTGGGCGATGGTCTGACGCGCTAGAACAATGCGCCAGTTTTGTCGGCGCTGCGGGCGGCGGCGCGGCGGTCGCGGCGCGGCTGATTTGTTGCCCGTGTCCGCCGGCTAATGACTGGCGGTGCGGGGCGCCGGTGCCTGCCTCATTACCAATGGCTCGGTGCGGACAGAAGTTATCTGCCGAGACGGTCGGACCGGCCGGCCGCGGTCGGCGCCTCCGCCCGTCACCTGCCGCAACTCGGCGAGAGAATGCGGAGATGCACACAACGAAAAAAAGATGTGGGAAGATGGCGAGACCGAGCATCTGACGTTTGATTTTGCAGCGCGGGTGAATGCAGAGGACATCCTTGTCTGTGGTTTCCTCTCCCAAGGTGTTCTGAGAGCCTGCGGGGATATCTTGACAAACTTTAAAAAAGAGAGAACCTGCCTCAAGTGTGAGAGGGACGTACTCGTATGCGGATGCAACACCACAAGATCTGCTCCGGCAAGGGCAAATGAGAAGGAGTCGGAATTTTTGGAACTATGAGAACAAAGAGCGCACCAACAATAATAAGTCTTTTTGGGGGTCGTGAAAGCCAGCACATTAAAAGCAGCCATGCGCGAATAGATGATAACTGCACAAGAGTGATTTGACGGTCAGCCCTATAAGAATTCGTTCACAAGGTTACAAATCACTATGCCTGAATGACTGGTGGCTGATTTGGTCAAAGAAGCCTCACTCATATCGCAGCACTAGTGCATAGAGCATGGATTTGGCCGAGATGAAAACGACCTGGTGAATAAGGGGCTCACTGCTCAGTGTTTTGCACTGAAAGTTTCTCACGAAATGGCACCGTCTCTCTCATCTCCATGCCTCTCTCTCTCTCTCTCTCTCTCTCTCTCTCTCTCTCTCTCTCTCTCTCTCTCTCTCTCTCTCTCTCTCTCTCTCTCTCTCTCTCTCTCTCTCTCTCCCTCCCTCTCTCTCCCCTCTCTCTCTCTTTCTCTCTTGCTCTCGTGTCCGCTTCTGTAGGTACATCCTCTGTTCTGCTCCTCTCACACCTGTTCCTCTCGCTCTTCAAAAGCCATTCTCCGCCATCTCTACCAATCGGCTCGAAGAACGGCTTCCGAGGCGTGGGAGCCTCACAGTCATCTGACAGCGATGACACTGCTCTGTTCTGCCGCGTCATCCACCACCTGCCGCCGCGGTCACGATGGTGATGGTGACGTCACTGGTTCGAGATGACGTCATTGGCCCGAGATGAGCCGGCGGCGGATGTGAGACGCCCAAGGCCAGCGACAACAATTAGCGCATACTCGAGGAGCGGAGCTGTTCACTGCTATACGAATGCGAACAGGACAGGCCGCACGCTATCTAGACAATCTTCGACGTGGCTTGTATCTGCAGCAGCATCTGTGTGCCAATTAAAATATCAACAGACACCAAGATAACTTACATACCGTAAAGTGGGGCTATTTGAGACAGTGGGGCTATTTGAGACAGTATTTAAAATCGCTATAAAATGAAGAGCGTTTGATTTTTATGTGATATTTTTTATCAGGAAGGTGTGGAATCGAGCAGTAAATCGCCTCAGCAAAAATTAAGCATAAATTTGAAACGCTCTTCATTTTATAGCGATTTTAAATACTGTCTCAAATAGCCCCACTGTCTCAAATAGCCCCACCTTACGGTAGCGTATTATTGGCGGCCAGTGCGTCTGATAAGCTCATGCTGGAAGTTAATGAGGGTACCGACAGACGCAGGCATTCTAAAGTTTACGAGACATTTTTGTAGAGTTTCGCCGTTTATGGCTCAGTGGGAACCCGGTTTTGTTGTTCATAAAATTTTACCTTGAGGTTAGCCGAAGTTTATAAATCAGTCTACCACCTCGTCTCGCTTTCCGTGCTCTTAAATCTCTCCAGTGAATTGCGTGATAATTCTTCAAAGTTTCTTAAGTTTCTTGATTATTTCCCTAGGAACATTTACAGGTGGCTGACATTTTCTAAGGTGCATAGTGACACGACAGTGACATGTGGCACTGCGCTATGATCATGCGTACCAACAATGGCATCTTTTGCATAACTGAAATGTTACTCGTCACAGCCATCCAGCCCATCCAGTTCTTCGACCTCTGCAGGAATATGTCGTATGGCATCCACGTGCTCCTATGCTGCGGCACAAAGCTATTGCCTGCGTTCTGCGCGCCTACCCGACATTCTGTAAAACGGAACGGCGTGCAACGCTCCTCAGTTGCCATCTAGCGTTGCAGTCACGTAGCCATACATAAGGATAAAGTCACCTCTCTGGAAAGTGGGCATGCATTTCTCTAAGTGGCACACCGCGGCGCATTCCAATGGAGCGTTCCATTATGGCCTCGAGAGCCAAATTACCCGGCCGGCTTACCGATCCCGTTTCCCGATTTGTGGCTCCGTGCTGGTCGCCCCACGGTGCCGTATTCTCCGATCAGAGCGGCCCGCACAGTGGGCGGACGGGCCGCCTTCTTTGGCCGAGATCGCATGCCAGACTGAACCGCAACGCTGGGCTCCGACATCGCGGCGCCGTGATACGGAATCGCGAATTCATTAGAGGCCAGTTTTCCGTGCACGGGGTAGCCCGACGGTCGCGTGTTCGTACCTCGTTCGTCGGAGTCGACGCGGGTCGTCGGAGCGACGATCTGGCCCGACGGGACGGGACAGGTCGTGTCCGAGCCGACGACCACACAGCGGCAGTCTGTCCGGCAACGCGACGTAACGACGCAAATTATGCAGCGCAATCTGATAGGGCGTATATGGCACACATGGCGTGGTTTGACTTTTGTTTTCGCGCTGCTCGAGTGGGATTTAACGTCTTGATAACCTGGAAAAACGTCGTCGAAAATGAAGGCACTCATGTCAGATTTCCCGTTCGACCGTTCACGATGTAATGTCGTCGTTCAGTAGCCGAAATCAATCATGTGTGGACAATCCATATCGCCGCAGAATGTAGGCCATCCCGGCGTCATTTCCGACTATATCACCACATCACGGCGGGCATTCCGGCACAATTCCCGGCCACACGCCGTGCCGGCATGCATTCCGGCAAAGTTGCATTTCATTCCGTGCCGGCGACTGATGAATGACGTGGATAGCGCGGCGCGCCGGGCGCCCTGAGCTGTAGTCCGGCCCGCTGCAGAGCTGCAGCCAAGGTAGTAGCATTATGCAGATGTGGCTCGGTTCGGTGACCTTCGTGGCACGTATGTCCGTGTCTTCTGTCGTAGGGGCTGCCCTGGGCTGCTACAGTCGGACCTGATCGTAGTCGACCCTTTAGCGTCGCCGTGTGCTCAGTCGCTGTTCGCTGTATTATTACTAATGTTTCAGTCTCTGATCAAGACGTGCAAATCACCGAGCAAACATCATCCTCATTCATGAGCGGCTAATGGTTCTGTCGAGGCGAGGAGTTCCGATGTCTGTTGTCATGACGACATGCACACAAACGACTCACTTCAACCAGTGGCGTCTGCTCCCAGGGCAATTAAACAATCGTTTACTTCCAAAGAGTGGTCTCTCATGGCAAAACCAGATACCACAACGCGTCAAAGGGGTGGCAACTATGTATATAATTCAAGAATATGGGTTATGCTATGTGCAACACCTTATCATCAAGCTACAAGCTTATCAAAACCGCTCGTACCACACCTGATGTCCGCTGGCGTCTATCAATAGCAGGATCTTTGCCAATTTGCAATTCAAAGCTCCCTCTGGCATTCGAAGCGGCTGAGTTGCTTTTAAAATAACACGGCTGATCTCATGCTGTGCTTAGAGCTCCTGAGTCCTGATGGAACATAGCTGCACAGACGGATGGCAGGATCACGGCTCAAACATTTTTAGCTGTACGATTTTATTCCGGAGCACCGATATTATTCACTCCAGACTTCAAAGAATCAAAGACAAGGCTCCGTGCACACTGCACATCTCTCGTGTCCTGTCGGCTATTTTTAGACTGTTCAAATTGAAGTGTTGAAATGAGATACAGCTACGATGTAAATGAGCCTTTACCATGCAGCAATAAGGGGAACATTTCTCAATCCTTATGCTATTCTTCCCGTTGATTAGGTATATTTTAATTCAAGACCCTCTCGTCGTAAGTTTGTCGTCTCGCACTTATTACACTCTTCAGACGGTATTCTTTTTCTTTTGGAAAATTCTTGCACTTCTCCTCACACTTAGTCTCCAACTGCTATTTCACTTCTCCTACTTCTTGCAGATTTCTTACCCTCTCGCCATGGCGTCTGACGCTGATCCCGCGCTATGTATCACCCAAACGTGGACATTTATCGAAGGCATACCTGACGTGACCTGACCTGACCTGACCTGTGCTTTCAGATGCGTCGGTGGCGGTGTGCCGCCGCGGCGCTGCTGTTTCTGCTGCTGGCCTCAGCGGTCACAGCGCTGCAGACTTTTGTTCGAGAGCCGTCCGATCAGTACGTCCGGCTCGGGCAGACCGTGGTACTTCCCTGCCAGGTGAGTGACCTCGGGTCAGGTCAGGTCAGCGGGTGTTACGAAGGAGGTTAGCTGACCTTAGGTACAGTTGTTCGACCTTTGAGGGAGGGCAATAAATTCCATGAGAGATCTGTCCATCTAAAAGAGTGATGTCTTTTTACTGAAGCTAGTTGATAGTCGTCTCAACAGTACCAAGGCACTTCTCATCCGTCATTGCGAGTGGCCTCTGATCCTTTCAATATTCTACACTAGGCTGCAACAATAAAACTGATAGAGGAACCTGTCTGACCAGTCTCCGGTTGAAAAAAAAACAGTCTCCCGTTTGGGTGCCGTCGTTATGTCTGGATAGTTTATCGATCAGGCCGACCATTAGCGCTCTGACGTCGACAAAAAGAAGCGTCTCAACATTTATTTTTGATCATATAGTAAAATGCTGATGCACGATAAATGCCAAATTAACTTCGGAACCATTGTATTTCAACTTTCCCATGACAGCGCGGCTGCGGCACACACAAATGCAGGTTCCGTTCCATCTTTCAACTCCAACCAGAAATATGTCAACAAAAGATCAATCAATTTATTTACAGCTTTCTTAATATCCCAAAATACCGCTTTACCAGTAATTTCGTACTGAATCAACATTCATGCTCATCCATTCAAAATGAGTCTGACATAGGGGCGGGCATTGCGACACACTGCGGTACGCCGGAACAATGTGAACACATGCAATGCTGGGGTTACATGGGACCATGTGCATCGAACTACACGGTGCATTGTGAAACTTCAATTGAATGTAACCAATGCACTGTAATTAGCCGGGACTTCACCCCAGGATCATGACCACACGTTGATAGTTGTAAGCGAATGATGTCTCAAAGGACCGCATGGCTACTGCAATCAACCAAAATAATCTGTGCTGGGCGGTGCTGGACCATACATACAGGCCTAGTTGAGTCTGTAATGAGACCCCATGGTCCTGGTGCGGACCACACGGCTCGGCCGGCCGGCCCGCTCGGGAGAGATGGCGTGCACCTAACAGCCCATTAGGAGGTGCGGACCGCTCCGCTGCACGGCCCAGAAGCCGCCACCTGCCTGATGTGGCCGCTGCAGACGCTGATGGCCGCTCGGACGCTCTCTGCGGTCACTCCGCCGCTCTCTCCGGTCGCTCCGCTGCTCTCTAAGGTCGCTCCGCTGCTCTCTCTCCAGGTGCAGCCACTCAGGTCCTTCCTGCAGCCACTCATGACTTGTTCGTTTCCCTTCCGTGCCGGAGAGGAGCCCGCGCTGCCACCGACCCATTTGTCGTCCACTGTATAGCCGAACTTTCGCTCGTTTGGTCTCGACGGTCGCTGGCTTTCATTCAGGGCTCGGAGCTATTTTCAGTTGCTAGGGGTAAAAATTAATTAATTGTTGATCCACTTTTTGATCTGTCATCTGTTGACAGAGTAACATGCACTTGAACGCGGTCATGTATTCTTACAAAGTCACTTCAATAAAATCATGGTCTTCTCCATGCATTTGCTCTTGCTTGGGATATTCGACAACACACCCAGTTATTCACAAAGCGTGGAACGGGAAAAGGAAGAAACATCACACTGCTCGCTTAAAGGGACCCTCCCACCTTCAAAAAAGTTAATGAATTGGCATGAAAGTGATGTCGCTCGGTTCAGAAAGAGCAAAAATGAATATCTACCAAATTTCATCGAAAAATATTCACCGGTTTTCAAGATATTAGACTTTTACTTTTGTTTACTTTTTGGGATCTCCGCTGTTCCTAGCGACTTTATCTGAAAGTGCGGCATTTGTTGCGCGCAAAGCAGCATATACCACCGCGTGCTGCCAAACATTTTAGTAAAAGATTTAAAAATCGTTAGATCTCCGCTGACGTCACAAATTCTAAGGGGGCATACCAATGCATTAGCCCCTTAGAATCCGAAAACTGCAAGTTTGAAATTCCATATCTCCGAATTAAAGCATTTTTCGATGTTGTGAATGCCCAAACCGGTATTTTCAGGCCATGGCCACCAATTTGGCTATCTCAACTCAAAACTAATGTTAAGGTGGGAGGGTCCCTTTAACATGCTTTCAATTTCAATCCTGAGGCCTCTTGCACCAAAATCCTCTTGCACCAATGCTTGGATTATTTTGCATCGTATACCCAGTCCAAGTCTCAAATGTAACAATTTGCGTGCAAAATTTAGCAAGCACATGTAGGATTATGTATTGGGCTATTGCAAACAAATTTACCACCGTTAGATTAGCTTATTCTGAAACCGGTTTTTCGATTTTACCTAGCTAGGTAGTTTGGTGCAAGAGGCCTCTGTTTAGCAGCATATGTGACGTTTAATTGCCAGTTTTAACCGCATTCTAAACGGATGTTTATTCACTACTAATCCGAGAAATAGTAAGTAAAGAAATAAACAACACTTTCCTCCATGAGCAATAACACGAGAATGCATGTGTCCGCTTCAATTTAAACCAGTCTCATCACACAATTTCCACCAGTAACACCCAGCTAAAAACCTGCCTGAGTATGTGGCCATGCACATAAAACGTGACACCGGGGACAGTGTAATCTGATCATTATCCGGATGGACCGGTCCCATGTCGAGTCTGATCTACCCGACAGTGTACGGACGGAGGCACCCTGATCACAATGCAGCGTGCACTGACGCGACAGTCGCAGGAATGTGTCGTGCATGACAGAGGTCCGTGAGTTGGGCCGTAGCGTCGTTCGTCTGATGGCCTGTTCGGGACTCCCAGCAATGACGTCATGAGTGGAATCCTTTGTGTAGAGCGAGGCTCTCTCGGGCCGGCCCGCTGACTCCCAATCGGCCAGATATCGGGTGGACCGAGATTCATTCTGCAAACGCTTGCAACACGGCCTCTGCGGTTTCTTCTCAGAGCGGCTCTGACTGAGACGTTATGGCTGTTTCTGTGAATTACGAGTTAGCTCGTACTTGGAGATCTCTAGCTAATTTTCATATCTTCATCTTCATCAACCGGTATGTGGACTTTCCACAGATACCCATAGCGCCCCACCACTGCCACGTCCTGCCACGCCTCGGCCATCCACCGTATCGTTTGCTGCGACCCTCCGCTCCCAGCAGCACTCTCGGACACCTCAGCGTCCCTCCGCGAAACGCCGGGCAGCCTCGGGCGGCGATCATCTCACCTCGTTTTGCCGCTGCCTCCGCCGCCACCGCCGCCTCCGCCTCCGCCGCCTCCGCCGCCGCCCCAGGCGCCTACTGATGGCCCACCTGTGAATAACACCGCCTCGGGCCGGCGCTGACTCTCTCGGAAGTGACTGCCGCCGGCCCCAGGCCGACCCGTTCATCTTCCAGCGTCTCCCGACCGCTCCCGGGTGCTCCCGGCGGTCTCTCGGCCGTCTCTCGGCGCGGAGCCCAGCGTCTCCCGGCGTCTCCCGGTGCTAACGGGCCGCGGACGGGCGTGGGAAGGCACGCGACGAATCCGCCGGATCCGTCGGCCGTTTCAGCTAATTGGCGCTCCACGTCGCTCGAGCTGGGCGATGATCGGCGGATCAGAGGGCGGCCGCTGACCGGTGGCGGTGGGCGCCCTCTTACATCGCCTCTGTCGGCTGGGGCGGAGCCCCGGGACAGGTGAAACGGGAGACGGTGCCGAAAAACGGCGACCGGAACCGGGGGTCGCTCCACTGAAAATGTGGAGTTGTCATGAAGATTGTATGATATGTGAAGGCTGCACGGTGGAAGTTGTTTTACCGTGTTTGCATGGTGCAGAGGGGGAAGTAACACCGCAAAACAGACACGTGTTATTGCACATCGACCGGGTACAGACTGTTTGCAGTTTGGTGCAGGAATACTACATATGTTTTATAGACGCGGTTGTCGTGAAATGAGAACGAACAGCCTTACGTTGTTACCTAATTTGTCGCGGTGATGACGTTGTCAAGATGGAATTACATGCATATTTAATTTTTAGATAGTGTGTGGCAGGTGACATGCATTCATTCACTCGGGTCACGTCATGGATACAATGGCGTATACAGCAATTAATTTCCTTCTTTTTGGGGAGTTGGGGGTGAGAGACCGGGGTATTAATTCATGACAAATAACTCCGAGGCTAAATGAAAAATGGGCCCAATACGAAACAATTCGTTCTCATTTTACATTCATCACTAAGTCCCAGACAGTGACATTCTTTGTCATAAGGTGTGCCATAGCGGATCATAACCTAAAAATTGTAATGTAAATGATAGCAGATCATCCAAGTCCAGTTTTGTGGACGCTTCGTGACATGTTCTGTGTCCGATGATTCATGCACTCCCATTATCGTCACAGTCATCACGTCACGTTTCTTGCTGTCATCACTCGCGTTCGTTCTCTGATCTCTCGATTCGTCCGAGTAAAAACGGAGCTCAGGACCCGGCATCGTGGCCTTGTGTGGCTGTCGCACATGACTGTGGTCCCGACTCCCAGCACGAAACGAGTTAGTATCTTTGGTCGCGTTTGTCTTTCCGAACACTTGCTGACACTGGTAGACACTGGACGTACGGCTTGATTAGCAAGGAAGTTTGCTGACCTTTGAGTCTGATCATAGTTGCCGACGCTAGATGTTTGTGGTTGTGGTAGCCAAATATCTTTCATAAGCTCTTGTTGTCCATTGTCCAAGTCCTCTCTTTTCACTCTAAGGGCGCGCCTCGCGTAAAACCAAGTTTTTTATTGTTGTTACTTATAAATGTGTTTAGCCACGTAGGGTGCTGTTGTTCTCGTAAGGTCTTCTAATCATTTTATTCTTTTTCAGCTCATTCGCCGACGTACATTTCAAATCTCTTCGGACTGTAGTTCTATTCATTCTCTGCTGTACACACGGCTGTGCCTGTTACAATTTGATTTTCTGTTGCCTTTCACGATTTCTCCTTTTCCTTCTTCTTTAGATTCAAGCTTATCTCTACCTGCACTCTTCCAGCACCCTTTCACCCTGCCCTCTCCTCGCCACCACCTCTAACAATATACCCTTCTCTGCCCGTCCCACAGGTGGCCAACTCAGTGGGACAGGTGCAGTGGACTCGCGACGAGTTCGGTCTGGGCATCATCCGCGACCTGCCCGCCTACCCGCGCTACCAGATGATCGGTGACGACCAGGAGGGCATCTTCTCACTGGAGGTGCAGCGGGTGAAGCTGGAGGATGACGCCGTGTTTCAGTGCCAAGTGGGCGCCGCTGCCGGAGTGCCCGGCATTAGGTAAGGACTAAGGAGGCCAGGCGTATTTGGGAGGGATGAAGGCCTGAGAGTGGTAAAGCTCTTAGGAGCTTTGGAGTTTGGACAATGGACATGTTTGAGGGGATTTAATGGTTACTAGACAGGGCACCAGGCGTATTTATGTAGTGGCAATCGAGTCATATAATAGAAGTTGAGAACTCCAAGCGCCCTCAGAAGACGGAAACAGTGCTTGTGATATACATAGCCATGGATGAGATCTAGCCGGTGATCAAAGCATACATGCTTCAAAACGGTGCTTGGGCAGTCGGTATTCGGTATGTGTATGGACCGATACGCTCGTTAACATGTTTCGTTGCAGCGAGAGTTTAAGTGTGATTACTCACCCTTAGGCTCCTCACAGCCTGGGCATGTGCCGGATTTTCTGCTTTTTGACATTCCACGGTTCCATTGTGTTTTGTAAGAAGGATGGGAAGGCCCTGTGATATGCTCGGAAGTGATACCTATCGGTTCTTCCACGAGTCTATACCGGCTATTGTATCAGATTGAATGTGGCGGGTGGTTCCAGCCAGACAAAGTAACGCTGAATTATGGAGATCGACATAGCCATGCTAAATGTGATTGTTGTTGGACACGTTAGGCTCATAGATAATTAAGCTCTGGCATTCAGACCTGAGGGCCAAGCTCAGTAGAAGTGACTGGCTTCCAGAACCGATAGACTTCTTACGCCATTCACCAACAATTCATCGTAAATGATATTCAACCTTCGTGGGAAGCAGACGATAAGGTTCGATAGCGGTAGTCTGATGGGCATCATCCAACCGCAAGCCTAGTTGGGCTCCCGCGGCCCATGTTTTCATGACCTCACGCGAGGTTGGCTGTTCCAGCCGCTGCAGAAACCCGGTCCTTCGGCGCCGTGGCGCGCCGCGAGACGTCAGCATATTAATTCAATGATCGTATGCGAGATTGTAGCCCGGCATAAATATTTGAAGCACTATGGGGTGGGCGCTTGTTAGTCGCACACCACTGGCTATGTTTTGTCGGTAACCGGTGCCGAAAATAATAAATGTCGGTGGCTGGAGTGGCCGACTATGTTTTACAGTCTACCGGGCTGGCTGTCGAGCGGTGAAACATTGTGTCGAGTGGGGACTGTCAGACTACGCACTACTGGCGGGTGTTACTGTGCACGGTGGAGGCCTGTGCTATAATCGAGTCGCGTTCTTGGGCGCTGTTCGTGCTGAAAGGTGACCCGTGCGCGCCATTACAGAGTGTTAGCTCAGTGGCATTCCGCATACCAAGGTGTACCCTGACCTGTCAGCTTACGCGCGTTTTCGTGTGGGTATAGATGCTTCTCATTGCTTCCCCTGAAGCACTGGTATGTGAACATGTATTGACCTGGATGCCGGAAGCAGAAGTATCGTGTGTTGTGCTGCTTTTATGTTGCTTACATTATACCATACGAGCTATCTTTTACCCTATGGATGCCTATATTGTGCCACCGTTGTGTCAGTATCCAGCCAAAGTGAAACGTTTATATCTTCCCTGGGTCATGTATCTTTAGCCGTCTAGTCCGTCGCTCTGCGTTTTCAGCAGAACTCACGACGCAACATCTTCTTCAACAGGTCGAGGAACGCTCGTCTGACAGTGCTAGTGCCGCCGGAGCCGCCGATGATCCTGCAGGGTGAACAGATGGCCACCACGGCCGGTCTCAATGTGCGCCTCCAGTGTCGCAGCACGGGCGGAAAACCCCCTGCAGAGGTAAGCCACGACGTCCGTCAGGGCGTCTTGGTGCAACGACAAATCACATTGACATGGTGCATAGGCTAGTGTTTAAATAGCTGATGGTGTAGTGGTATAACTCCAGGTATAGTGAAACTTCGAGACCTTGAGTCTGCGCGAGCATTTTGTCTTGCTTGGCATGCATATTTTATTTGTTACATGGTAAGGCCATTTTTCTTCTTCAGCATTATGCTTTATGTGCTTAGAAGCTGAAGATCGGTCTTTTATTGTACGGTCAGGGTAATTCTATAAATGCCCCCAGAAATCCGGGTTTGGCGTTCTTGTACTTACGATATAAACGATACCGTTACATGTATGCACATTGCACAGCGCATATTGCACGTTGCACGGCTATATCAGCCGGTGGTCCACCGCAGAACGAGGGAGGTCCGCCGGCAACGTGTCCCGCTGTTTGTGGTCCTCTCAGCGGCTCCATCTGAGTCGTATCGCTCGTCAATCGGTCCTGTCTCCGTCAATCTTCCGCGGCCGGCGATTCCTCTCCGTCCGAGAGGACGTCCTTGGTCGGGGAGACAAGCCGTTCTCCTGGCCTCGCCTGGTTGAATGCTGTCTGTCTCTGTCAGCGGTAAAAGCTGCTGTTCGCCTCCTTCAGCTGGCTTCAACTCCGTGCACAGAGTACAGTGGGTGTCCTTCTGTTGCAAACAATGTCGTTAAATATGAACAAAGAACTTTAAGGTACCCCTCTACTTGCGGCTATCTATACTGTTTAACGGGAAATATGCATACCGAAGTAGCGTCTAGAGACCCAGCAACTGCCAACTACATTTGGTCATGTGCATTTTAATATGATAGCGCGAGGGCTCTGTTGTGAGCTGAAACGGATCAGATAAAAGACCAGTTCCGGACCCAGTTTTATTCTGTTGTTCTTTTAAACACGTGTTGTCATTACTTTCTGTGGGTTGCGTGACTGCCTGTCGCTGCTCAGACTGCTGATCTGACATGTCATCTGTCAGCTTTCCCTGTAGTCCGTCTCTGTTGTCTCTTCTCTGGCTTCCAATCTGACCGGCAGCACGCCAAGGTCAGAGGGCCGAGCTGTCTGGCGGGAGCTGCCGAGCGTCGGGTCCACCCCGTCCCCGCCCCGTCCCGTCCCGTCCCCGAACCATGGGGCTAGGCCGCTGAGTATGAACGAACCTGGTCCTCCGGTGAATCATCGCCATATCATGTCGCCTCGGTCTGAGGACGCCCGGCCCCGGTCTGGTGGGCTCACATGGCAGCCAGCTGCTGGCGTTAATGTTGCAAGTCAAACAACCCACGTCGGATACCCCGGAGAGCTTTGATGTTGGACCCAGCCGCGTTTCCGCCGCCATAGATATGACAGTGTCCTGAAATACAACATTCAATTAAAAACTTCCGGAGGTGACTAAATGTAACTTATATGATTTTCCATCCACGGTGCGACCGGTGAGCCGTTCTCGAAACTTTTTTTTACCAGGTTCTATTTCTGGAAGTCTTAGCTGAGTCACACTCACTTACTGCAGTTACCAGCAGAAACTTGTTATATTACACATATACATAGCTAGAATAACTTTTTTCATCGTGATGACGTGGGACGTCTCTTTCCCACAGATCGAGTGGTACAACGGCGATCGCGAGCTGATCGAGAACCGCAGCGAGACGTCCGTCTCCATCCTCCCGGACGGCAAACTCAGCGAAGTGCTGTCCACCCTCAGCTTAGAGGTCGGCGCTCGTCACCACGGGGCCAACATCACGTGCCGGGCGCACAACTCGGCCCTCAGTGCGCCTCAGACGGCCGCCATTCAGTTGGCGGTGCGGTTTGCGCCTCAGGTGCAGCTCTCCGGTGATACGACAGCGGTGCTGGAGCGCCGAGATGTGACGCTCAACTGCGAGGCCACGGCTAACCCGAGTCAGGTGAGGGTCTTCATAGAGCACAGTAGTCAGATGATGTATTAATAAATATTAAAACTGGGCGTCAGCAGTGGAGGCAGATTCACCGAGCGTTACCAAAGTCTGCAGACAACAATGCAGCGACACTGCATGAATTGAAAAATGTTGCCGTTGCAGGGCATTCGTAACGATGTCAAGGTCGCTTATATTTACTTTGCAGTTTGACTGGGGCACACGATTTCAGACCGTGAAGTCTTTTGATTTTTTGCTCGTCTAGTAGGAAAACGAGCCATCACTTTCTTAGAACGCCAATCTTCTGCCAATCACAGGTGCTTTAAAGTTTACCTCGCGAAGGTCAGCAGGATTTATCACTTACACCTGAGAGTAAACGAACGGGTACGCCGACTCCAGTTAACTTTAGTTGACTAGTAAGTCCAACTTGGAAATGGACGGCATGGTGGTGTCTAAAACTTAGCCATCTCTGAAGATTGCATCGTGCGAGTCAATTCTGTTCAGTGACCCCCAACCCTGCGGATTGGCGGTGTGGTAGTAGAAAATCAGCGATAGGTCATCGTGAGGTCACTGGTAGGTCATTGAGAGGTCAAAGGTAGGTTATTGGGAGGTCGGTGTTAGATCAAGGATAGGTCAGTGGTACGTCATTGATAGGTCATTAGTAGCTTAGCAGAAGGTTAATTTGAAATCAGTATGAGATCAGCCATAGGCCAGCGGTGGTCAGAGGTAGGTCAGTGGTAGGCCAGTGGTAGGTCAGTGGTAGGTCAGTGTGAGGTCAGTGCTAGGTAGAGTTAAACCAGCGGTAGGTCAACGGTAGGTCAAGTTGAGTTCAGCGCGGTCCGGCGGCGGTATCGGTCGCGGGAAGTACTGATATTTTGTATTCCCGAGGCGTTCAGCGGCAGACTCGGGCCGGAGAGGCAATTCCGCCGCGCCGGGGCTGGCCATTGTAACTCTCGGCACCGCTGCGGCCGGCCAGAGCGGTCAAATGTAGCCGACCCGGGCAGAGGACCGACAGTCGAACCGGCACGGGCAGAATAGAGGCGCTAGGTAACGGTGCCGTCTTTAGGGCATTTCGCCTCGCCGCCGTGTTTACAATCGAAGGTCTAAATAAAGGTCCCGTTTGGAAAGTTTTGTCCGGTGTTCGTCGAAACGCGGCTGTGAGGCGCCAGGGATGAGGGTTTGCTGACTGATGCAGATCTGTGTTATCTGTTGCCAGTTGACACCATTTGGCCGTCATGCCAGTGGGTGTTCATTACCGTTGAGCGCATCTTTTTCGGGCTTACCGCTTTTGGGAATCGGCTTGTAAACTTTGTTCAGTTTAGATAGCCCCAAAATGGCGCATTTCATTAGTAAATGATGCGATACCGAAGCCATAATGCTTCAGCGACCTATTACTGATTGACCGATTCATCATCGTCCCGATGTGGGCATGACACGCGGCACCGCTCTGCAGCTAGTCCGCCATGCCGTGTTCGAACGCATTTCCGGCTGTTCGCCACACTTCTAATCAGGATCACCGTGCCAAGAAGCATGCGTTACAAACGACCCACCACCACGCCACGCGCGTCATGTTCATTTGGCAAATGGCGCCCTGCTGACGGCATGTCTGGGTGACCCGCAGGTGACATACCAGTGGTTCGTCAACGAGGAGCCCCAGGTGGGGCACACCGGCTCCCAGCTGACCCTGAGGGCGGTTGGACGCGACCTCAACAATGCTACGGTTCGCTGCAGGGCTGCCAATGAAGTGGGGGCAGCCAGTGACTCCAAGCGCATCACAGTGCTATGTGAGTACGGCTTTTGATCTGGTTGATCGTGATCTAATGAAAATGTGTGTTCTTTGCATTGTTTGAGATAGTGCACATCTTATCCTCTGTGCAGCGCTAAGACCATATCTTATCCTCCATGCATCGAGTCATAAGAGTCATAACTGTACTCCTGCAACGATTATAACTAGTCTCGGTATGGCCGAGCCACAAATCTCCAAAGATAACCGATACTTACCAGCCCCTGACTCTCGGAACCACAGCTCTCCTCCTGCCTCTCCGATCGTAACTAGCCCCTGCCTCGCCGACCCCATTTAGCCTCTGACTTCCTCGCGCCGAGGGCCTGACGACGGCGCTCGGCGGGCCGGCTCAGAAGTGGCATCAGCCGCGGATTGGCGCCGGTCACCGGCCTGATGCGGGTCGACGAGCGGCAAATGAGCCGCCCCCGCCCCCGCCCCCGCCCACATGATCCGCCCCCGCCCAGACCGGCCGGCCGACCGCCCGCTCCCGCCCATGCCTGCTCCGGGCCCGCCCGGCGCTGATGTTACATCGGCCGAGTCGAAAGGTGCTCTATTCTGGTGACCTGGCCCTTGTTCACGCGGTGCGCCGCTCTATTCTGATGACCCGGCCCTTGTTCTCACGGTGTTCTCCGCCCCCAGATGCGCCCAGGTTCCGGCAGGAGCCTCAGGATGTGGCCGCCGACGCGGGTCATGAGGTCAGCCTCAGTTGTGACGTCGACTCGAACCCCGAGCCGCGAGTGACCTGGGTCAAACGCGACTGCCAGTCCTGCCAGAGAGTGAGTGTGCCTGTGAGGGGGGGGGGGGGGCGAGGGAAGTCGGCTCCTGTGCTAGCTGGGAGATTGATAGTTATCTCACGCGCGGGGTGTGATGTTAATTGAAGGAGTGATGTCAGAATATGCGCTGTGAATAGAAGTTACTACACTCAAGATCGATGGCGCATATGGGGTAATATCAATACAACGGATGTACTTTTAGCACAAATGATGAATTGATAAATATTTATCGTCCATCTCATGGTAGTCAATCTCTCTCAGAATTCGCATTATTTATAGCATACAAAGCACTTCGCTTAGTTTCTACCTAACCACGGGAATAATGATATGCCTTCGAATACGCCGGAACATTAAAATCAAGCCAGTCAATTCATGAGCTGAAGCTCGATATATAGCCCGTTTCGAATTCATCAATAACGGTCATTAAGGCTCCGCGAACAACTATGTCCGGTTGTCGGACAACCAAGTCCGACTCGCTATGGAAGTGTATCATCATCGCGAGTCGCCGGAACAGATTTGTGTCAGTGTGGTGATACTCGATGGGCCGCCGGCACGCACCGCGCCAACACACCGCAGCAGCGGGCTCTGCATGATGAGCCCACGCAAAATCAGTTGGATACACACGGTGCGTTTTGAAGGAGGTGATGTATCGGATAGCCGTGCGGGTTAGAACAAGCGGTCGTCTTCATAGTTCACTGTCCAGCTTAAGCTTGATAATGCCGAGGTGGATTTAATATGAATCGTTAATGGCCACTCAGCTAAATGATAATGGATAGCTGCCGATCATTTCATCAATACTTCATTTGATCAAAATTAAAATCTAGCTGATAAGCTTCAGAATAGCTAAAACTGTTGAAAAACTGCCCGAAGAAATGATATTAGACATAAAGCGGTTCCGGGATAATGTAGCAAACAATAGCCTAGCTCTTGAAAAAGCAGCAAGTGTAACTCTTCCGCTTCATTCATCCCAATGTCAGGACCACATCTGTGATAACCATACGCACGTCATGCGTGTTTGTGATCATTGATCATTGATCAGCGACCGTCATATGTCATACCGTGGTGCCCTGATCCGCTGACCCAATTTGCCGACCGCGGGTCTCGGCCCGTCAGTCGGCAGCGACCGCTGAAGTCTGACTGACAGACTGCGGATGATGCCCCGCTAGTCTCCGGCCCGCGACGCTAATTGTATCGACCACTAACGGCCGCTCGTGCTGGCCGCAGGCCTCACTAGCAGTGACTCATCGGGGGAGCCTAAGTAGGTGCGGGATTGACGACTTGGACCCTCTGACCCCGGCTCCAGCCTCCGGTCGTCGACTTTTCCCGGCTCCATTCAGTGTCTTCGATCAAGGCGAGGGTGAATTCAGGGCTATGCGGTATACTCGGGAGCTCGCTAGATATTTGCATCGCGCGCGGTGTGAAGCATTGGTGAAAATGATCACTCCATTTGGACTGTTCAATATGATCCTAATTCGGTCGGCTGCATTAGCGTTGCATGTAATAATTGTCGTCAGCCATCTGCATACTGATAGCATCTGCATAATGAGGCGATGGACGCTTTCTGCCAAACACAGGCCATCACGGTATTGCTCGGCTGCGCGGCGCTATGCGGTGCAACAAGTCACTAAATTTTACATGCGGCAAGAAACGAGGCGACTTTCGTACGGTAACGGTCCTGAAGTGGTGGGTACGTACAGGGTCAAACTTAACGGCCCAACTTCACCGCAAACGGCCCGCTCGTGGCGCATGGTCGTGTGAAATTTAAGTGCATTAGACACCCAAGTAGCGGGTGTGTGTTCTTTGTCGCACCTACTCTTGCGATTTTAAAGTATTTACTTGGTATTAATCGGAAGCCGCGTTAGGCATCATGCAATATTTGTTAGGCACACTACTAGAAGCACGGTGTGCTGTGTTGCACGCAGTTTCACCCTGTGTGTGCGCTCCTTAATTTCTCAACACGGCGAGGCCGGTTCTGCCGGTGGACACACCAAGCACCATAAATCAGCAGGGCCCTCGTCAGGGACGTCACATTTCTTTTGATCTTCTGTTATCCCTCATGATTGAGAAATGCCCGCAACATGTGTCACGGCCCGTTTCGTGTTTAACTACAGTTCGCCGGGCGCGATGCAACATTCATGATTCCATACACAAACACCGCGGGTCCATGTAAACACTATCGGTCCTCGTGAAGCGACGTGCTGTCGGCCTCGACGATGGTCCAGATGCGGCACCGCGGCAACGGCTCCCACGACCCCGACGGCCATCGACGTGCCGCGCGTCGGGGCGAGCGGTCAACACAGAGGCGACGCTGGTCTGACCGGCCATGGTTCATTGGGGCGGCTGACGACTTGTGCAAACTCTATGGCTGTCTGACACCTGTCTGGACGCGTGCAGTGGACGGTATGGAGCATGGACCGTTCACAGTGAGCGTCTACAGTGCCTCAGTCAACAACGCCTCCGATCAATGGCTTCGGTGCTCGGACCTCGGATTCCCCCCTCCAGCCAGCTCCCCCCCCCCTCGGCAAGGTGCACGGGCATGCATACATGCAGGCCAAGGCCAGCGTCCGTCTGACCCGGTAGTGTAGCCGTGCGGACGGTGGTCACGGCTCTTTGGTTAGCGCTGTTGCTCGAGGGAGCTTGAATTTGTTCGCGTGACCGGGCCAGAGAAAAGATTCAATGGTGGTTCAAACGTAGAAGCGATAGAGGGAATGCCGTCCACTGGTGCAGTGGATTGTTTTTCTTGTATGCTTCTTCAGTCGTGCACATGACCTAATACTAATGCCTCGCCGAATCCTGACTCGGTTTCTCCCACGGTTCGAACTCCGAACCCCGTCTCACGTCCCACCCCCCACCCTGAGGTACCGCCGTGCCGGACCGCGGCGGCGGTGGCGGTGGCGGCGGTGGCAGCCCCTCGGATTAGGCCCCATCAGCGCGCGGTGCTCCCTCCCCCGCCGCTATTGTGAGGAGGTGCCCAGATAAATTACAGAGCGGGCAGATTGGCCGGACACGTCGTCCCGCCGATGGCGGACATTTGGTAAATGACGCCGCTGTAAAAACGCCCCGTTCCGGTCACCGTTGCCGGCCCGCGGCGTCGCAACCGATGATCGTCGTCGGCGGCGGGAGAAATGGCGTGTCAGGAGCGACGCGACGCCGCTTTTATCGGCGCTCACTTCTGCTGCGGAGATCGGACATATTTGGCGGTAGTAGATCCTGGACATTGTGAGGAATCATAGGCACATCAGCCATATCTGACAACCACAGGTTTAATGAAGGGGCAAGGGCTGATAAGAAGCATTTTAGTATTTATTAGTTTTCCTGGGTTGTTGTAAATTAATAAACATTGTTCTGTCGTGTCCGGTTTTCTGATGTCAAGTGCCAAGCCCTTTTTCAAATTGACATGTTGTTGCCTGCTACCTTATTTAGAGGGTCGTTAATTGGCCTCTGATATCTCGCGTTGGAAAGGTACTCTTATCTTTTCATGACACGATTCGTAAACATGCTGTAGGTATTCTCATGTCGTAGCATGCTGTCAGCTCAACGAGCTCGACAAGCGAATCATAAAATAACAACTTAACTTGGTTACGTGCTTACGAATTATGTAGCTGCAAAACACTGCACTTATTTATCTTCATTCCATTTTTGTTTTCCTTTAAATTAATCTCATCATAGAGCGCACATCTATGGATACTTCACCACTGACCCCAGCTGTAAGTCGTATGGGTCAGCTTTAGTTATTATGCTTTCCTCAAAGATCGTTCGCTTCTCCAAACTCATACATTTATCTGGCGCAACCGAACAGTTATGTGCTTCTCCTGTCCTCATTTTCGCTTATCTTCCTCTCTCCCGCTCTCTCCCTGTTAGCCAAATCACACTCTAACCACCGGTTGTGTCTGTCCGTTTCCAGCGTGTGGGCGTGGGCCGGCGGCTGCGACTGCGGGCTACGCGCGAGTCCGTGGGCCGCTACGAGTGCCGGGCCGAGGTGGAAGGCTTCCCGGAGGTGTCGCGGCAGCTGATGCTGTTCGTGAGGGCCCAGCCGGAGGTGACGGCGCACTCTACACAGCACGGTGTCGAGGGCGAGACAGTGCGCGTGGAGTGTGTGGGCGCCAGCGTGCCGCCGCCCCAGGTCACCTGGTACTTCCAGCAGACGCCCGTGCCGCTAGGTGAGTCGCGAGAGCGGGGCGAGCGGGAGGGAGAGGGATGAGGAACGTGGACTGATGCCTGCAAATGGCCTTGTTGGACTTGGATTTCGTGATGCAGTTCGAGAAGTTATTGGAAGGCTGGTTAATTATGGTTAAAACTATGAAGCCGGCCTATCAACATCAGGTCATGAACTCTGGTTTTCTTCCTTTCCTTATTCGAATATATCAAAAAGAGATTCACGAAGCATCTCAACATGCCTTCATTGCTTTAAAATCACTTTCCTCCCTATAATCATTTCTCTAATTGAACGTCAACGACAGACCATACGGCGTGTCAGCTCATTGAAATATCTGCCTGGTGGTTGGTTGCTCTGGAACAATTTCCATGACCACGCTGTCATTTCGTGGCATCGGTAAGCCGGCTGTGAGATCATTTTGAATAGTGGGTTAATTATAGCGTGGTCGTGGTAAGCCAAAATCGATGCCGCCGACTCGCTATATCGCCTGGATTGAGGATGCCGCAGCATGCCGTGTGTCTCGGAAGTTCCGTGTACTTTGCTTATTGGAGTCTTCTGAAGTTGTCACGTAAATCTCGATGGAATTATGCTCTAGCGCATTAATTCCTATTGCATACTTGTTAGTCGGCAACGTACGTAATTAAATTGGGTCAACTCAGTGACTCAATCAGAGTAGATGTGTGAGCGGTGGCGAGCTTGTTGGCTAGCTTGGTTTGATGTTTAAGCGGCTTTCCAAGTTGACGGGTTGTTGTCTACTACTATTGACGGACCGTAAATGCTCGAGTCTCTATAGGTAATGTGTTCTCTGTTTGCGACGTCAGCTTATTTGTCTACTTGAAGAGGCGTGTTGTTTGCTCATGATGTGGGTTTGACTGCGTGTCTGTCGGCTTGTCGTAACTTTGTAGGTGTGCCTGTCTGTCGTGACCTGTGTGTTGTCTGGTAAGGCGTTTAAGGATGTAAATACCTGGTGCCGTCTGCTAATGAGAGCACCCTGTCGGCCTGTAACTGCAGATTGCCAATGGGAGACGAAACTGACGCATGTTTCTGTTGTCGCAGACGCGGACCGTTACCAGGTGATCGAGCAGCCGGAGGTCGGAGGTCTCCGCAGTTTGCTGGTCATCCACCGAGCCACAGACAGCGACTTCGGCCTGTACAACTGCACGTTCACCAACGCCTACGGCAGCGACTCGGCCGCCATCATCCTTCAGAGGCAGAGTGAGTACCGCCATAGTTCCAAACGACTCGAAGTTAGCTCCTGTAGCGTCGCTCCAAAGAAACTCCACTACACACTATTCTTTCCGATTCTGTGCGTTAAATGGCCGGGAAAAAGAGAACCTCGCACCGGGCGCTCCATCTCAAGTTTCATACCATATTCAGTGAGTCATTTTTCTTCCGTTATGTCAGCCGTTCGTGTCGCTGTAAACATTTTATCGTCGTGCGCACCTTCCTCGAGGTGTTTTTCGGCGCTGAGTCGGGCGCAGAGCCGTCTCACCTCGGATTACACGACCGTTCCTTCCGCTCTGGGCGTCGGAGAGCGAATGATGCGACTACTTCGAGCACACAGGACTCGTTCTTCGCGGCAATGACTCGTTTGTTTCGGCCCCTGATCTCCACACGAGTGAATATTGGAGCCAATTGAAGCTCTGACTCCGTCCCTCGAAGTTCACCATCCGATCCCGACACGGGCCGCCGAGCTGACAGGCAGAGCTCGCGGACGGACGGAGGCACAGCGTCGGTGTCCCACACCGTCCCCCTATTGGACGTGGCCCGTGTTTGATCGCCGATTAATAACGGGCTCAGTGTATTCAGCGTCGCCGGAGCGGAGCGGCCGTCGGCGGGGGCGCGGCGCACGAGCCGCCGAATCAATGGCCACGCCTGGTCCCGTGAAAAAGACCCACCGCTGGGGCCCCCGCCGCGCCGGTGCGTGTGCGTATGGCGACGGTTGTGATGGAGGAGGTATTTGGGCTCTTGACAGAATACAGCCAATTGGTGTCAGTGGATTGCAAATATGAGTATTGATTGGTGATATGCATGGATATACTTCAGGCGCTGTTGGCCCCTAAGATATCGAAACCCATGACTGGACGAGACAGCCGACCCACACTTCGCCCGCCAAGTTTTGTGGACCTACGACTAGGCCCCAATTCACTTTCAGCTTGAATCTTGGTCGGTCCGAACCTTGTGAAGCCCTCCAGAACCTGTCCAGCCCTCTCCAAAACTTGTCGGGCGCGGCTAGAACCCTCTTTATCACTCTTGCAACACAGTTCACCCTCTCCAGCCTACATGGCTTGTTCAGCGCCACACCGGTCACCGCGGAGCCCCCGGCCGATTCTGAGCGGGAACGGGGCACCGTCGAGCACTCAGCGAGCAGTCTCTCCACGGCTTCCTCGAATGCTGGTCGAGCGCCGCCAGTTTGGTGCGGACTGCGGCATCGATCGCCCGTTTGGTGACGGTGTTGGGTGTCCGAAGGTGTCGGGGCGTTACATACAAGCGGACGCTGTTCTTGGAGGAGTGAAGTTGAGGAATAGGGCTTGGTGTAAGGGTGATGGGAGAGCCTGGGTAGGTGTGCTGCTCAGATGGCTGAACCAGATAATAACTGCTTTTTAGTGGAATTTTGCCAATCGCTTGCTGTGTGACGGTGCCAATAAGTTTTCTCCTAAAGTTGTTTCGCCATTTTTACGTATTTTTGGACTTTCATAGAAGTTAAATCTTACATTTTCTCTCGCCACGGAATCATCCAGATAGTAACCCACAATCGGTCTCAATCACCCACCATGTCTCGTGACTGCATTTTCCCTTTCCTCATGGTACCCGCCTGAGGCTATCTGGCGGCTGTTCGCCGATCTGGCAACCCATCTGGCAGCGCAATGTGGGCCGACATATATTCGCTGGGGCACAGCGGGAGGGCCCACTTTGGACACGCCCGCCCGCTCCGCTACCTTTTATGTGCGTTTTGTAGACTATATTTCTCGTTATTGAGTTTGCTGTGGGGGACATCAAAGCACGTTTATTGAATGGCGTGCGCTGTTAGAAGCGAGAAATGAAGCCAGGCTGGGCCTAGGACGACCACTGGCACGGGCGGCGAGTCTCCGGAATCCAGCCTGCTCTGTGGTAGTTTTGGCTCCGACTGGTTCTGCTCCGCACTCTACCCACAACTCCCCGCTTCCCCTCTGCCTGGACAGCAACGATCGAATCTCAGTTGTAGACCAGGATACTGCTTTCCTATTTCACTGACATGGACCATTTGAACGAATTATGCTGAGAAGCGCAAAAGAAAACGATGTCCTCTTAGCGGGCTCTCGTAAGCACATTTCTTCGAACATTTTTTAGTGTTGTCATTTGAGATGCAACATAATATTTTGCGTAACAATCTGTTTTCCCTGGCAAGCTTATGTTGTTTCCAGCCTCCAGGGATGAGGAGCCGTGGAAATTTCAGACGGCTCCGGCTCCGGCTCCGAGTAAAATGGTCCGGCTCTGGCGGCTCCGGCTCCGGCTCCGGCTCCTGTACTCAGTACATCCTCTATACAATTAAATACGGCTGGAAGAAAAAAGACGAATGTAGGTATTGGTTAACGTTGCTTCTGTACCTACTTGCATAACAAGGCTATTTTGAATACCAAATGTTTTACTGCCTTGTACTGTCAAACCGAACTAGGTCAATAATTTTTTTCCTCTTAAAAAAAGGAGCCGGAGTCGCCGCCTTTTCTGACGGCTCCGGCTCCGGCTCCGGCTCTGGGCTTTATTGTTTCACGGCTCCGGCTCCGGCTCCGGACGAAATATGTCGGCTTCGGCGGCTCCGGCTCCGGCTCCGCACCCCTGGTTGTTTCCCTTTCACTCAATTTATTCACCGATTAGGATCCAGCGGTGATTTTATTCACCCTTCCTCCCCTCACGTCAGGCCTTCCCGGCTCCATACCGCCCTCCTGGGTCTCTCCCTCCCGACAGAGAGTTCCTTCCCGGGGGCGGCCGGTCCGGTTTGTTTGTTTGCTGCCGGTTTATTTATCGCCAGACATCAGTCAGATCGTACCATTAGCGTCACCTACCCAGTCAGATTAGGCCCAGCCCGGAAATAAAAGAGCACCGTCTCGCGGGCACGTGACGGCGCCTGGGGTGGAAACAAAACTAACCACTCCGGCGACGCGTCCCGTGTCGCAAGAAAGGGGAGAGAAATGAAGATGCTGCACAGAAACGCAAGCGGAGGAAGTGGTTGCAGCTGGATGAGAAAGGCCAAGTTGAATGTACCTAGTTATTTTAAGGAAAGGCACGGGTTTGTACCTGTATGCTCAGTGAAAAACAAAAACAAACAAACATTGAATTGCATCGACATTGATAAGCTAAATGCGTGAACAGAAATTTCGAAATTCCAATTCGCGCTATAGGTTCCGCTTTTCTAGGAACGGAGGAAGTTAAGTCAAAACTCAAAAGTAACACAGTCTAAATTCTCTTGTCCTCGCGTTCATATCTGTGGACTGGACTGCGATCCCTGACTTTTCCCCGATATTAGCGGCAGCGTAGCTTATCCACCGGGCGTCTCTCCCAGGAGCCGATTTCCGCCTGTTGTTCCCTATTACGCCACCACCGGCGCCGTGCGCCTCGCGCCCCATCGCCTCCCCGTCTGCTGGTGACACTCCCTCACTGACGCCATGGGCCGGGACGGACAGATCCATTAACAGCATTCCTTCTACGCTGACGCCCCGGGTGGCCACCCGTGCCGTTCACGTGGCGCGAGCCGAACACGCGCCGTCAGTGCCACGTGTGCGAGAGGTCGTGGCGTGAACCCGTGTACGCGTCCGATGCTTTGGTGCTTGGTATATATGGTGTCTCGGTTCCTGATGGTGTCTAAAATCTAAATGACGCTTGACAGTGCCACTTCCCGATGGCGATGGGCCTGAGACTCTATTTGTAGATTCCATCTCCGCCTGTCGAGGCGACTCGCCCCTGGGTTTCTCCACCTGTACCCAGCTGTAGGCTGAAATGGGCTTTCATGACGACCCCGAACCCACGGGTGCGCGCGACGCAGGACAGCAGCGATGCAAGCTGACGTCTGACTCGTGGAAGGGTAGGGAGTTGGAGTGTTTGAGTAGGGGTGACAGCGGGGCTGTTTGTGTGTTCAATATGGAAGTTGGGTGGCTTTGTGTGCGCGACGAGCTAGCATATTTGCCCCTGACTGACAGGGAGGAAGACTGAATAAAATCAGAGATTTACGTCAATGGTACGGGGCCGTGAAAGACATCCTGCAATAAGCCGGTGTCGTGACATTTTGTCTTATCTGACAAGGCATACCAGTTTCATTGCTGCCAACAATCTACAGCTCAATCTTCTCGACTGCCAAAGATAATACGGCATCGTTTTTACCCATCCACCATCACGAACTAAGCCAATAGCCTTTCTTTGGTATTGTCCATCGCAATCATGAAATGAATCATAGAAAATCAGAATATCTACTTTGATATGAAAGAAGTGAAAGGCTAAACTCCATCAGCTGACTCTATCCCCTGGTCCTGTTTCTTTTGTTGCCTGTTACGACGCATCAACTGTATCGATGCATGCAGGTATTACGCCTGTATCGACGACGAGGCTAGCCATACCTGAGGCTGACAGCACCGCGTTTCTCCTCAGGAGCGCTGCCTCTGCTCATCATCCTAATTATCGTCATCGGCGGCATCGTGGTGCTGACGGCCGTCATTCTCGTCGTCATCATGTGTCAGCGTCATCATCGGCGGGCCAAGGAGAAGCCCACTGCAGGTGAGCGAGAGAGAGAGAGAGAGAGAGAGAGAGAGAGAGAGAGAGAGAGAGAGAGAGAGAGAGAGAGAGAGAGAGAGAGAGAGAGAGAGAGAGAGAGAGAGAGAGAGAGAGAGGGGAAGGGGAGTGGGAAAGATGGGAAGTGAGGAAAAAGAAGGTAGCGAGTGGGGGAGAGAGGAAGTGGATAATGAGAGGAAAAGGGAGGGAGAAAGGAAGGAAGAAAACTCTTCAGATAAATCATTTCAGATAATCACTTCAGATAATAGTTAAAGATGATATGCCAGCTTTACCAGAACAAAAGTCGACAAATGTCAATAAAGACTAGAAAATAGATTTAAGTCATATGATAAGCCGTCTGTAGTGAGTACGGTTTTCCTGTGTCTGCGTCTATTTGGACGAAAAGTCATATCGGAGAGAAATGGTCCGGACAGCGACGAACCTCAAGAGCCGGTCGCTTTGGACAGGGCCTGAGAAATGTCCCGACTTCGTAGGACACTACTTTAGGCCGGGAGAGCACCCATGAAGTGCCCCTCATCGAGCCATATTTTGTTGCTGATATGTGGGCTTGAGCCTATAAAGATATCTTGAGTGGTCTGATGCTGATACTTTGAGGAAAAAACAGGATAGGTTTGGGTTGTTTGTGCTCTTCCCCCAAACACTGCTTTCATAGATAGCGTCTACGGATTTTACTTATTCGCTCTCCAACCTCCATAAACAAGTGCGATGTAAACAAGGTGTAACTTTGTAGTTCAAAAGCTCTAAGCTGTGTAAAAATGTACCGTTTCGATCAAACCATTACCCGAATGCTTGGTCCTGGTGTATACCACATGATCCAACATCTTCCATATCGATTACCCAATATTCACCAAACCCTTTCCATGCCATGCCAGGTCAGGTCAGCCCTTTCACCACCATCTCCCTCGCTCCACAGAAGAGGTGGCCCGGGACAAGCTGGGCCGGGACTCGGAGCCCAACTCGTCCGGCTCGGACCTCAAGGTGGAGATCCGCACCACCTCGTCCGGCTCGGGTCACGTGATCACTGATCGGTGGGATGGCGCGCACGAGCCGCCGCCCTCGCACGTGCGCATGGCGGGAGTGGGCGAGGAGGCGCCCGCCGACAACGGCTTCCCGCCATTTGTCAAGGTCAGTTGCTGCAGGGATACGGGATGGGACTTCTTTTAACACAGAAAGGGTAGCGACAGTTCATAGAACTTTGTATAGACACTCGTAGACCTCGGTATAGAGAGGTCTATGGACAGATATATCAGAATTTTGTCATGAAGTCATTTGTCGTCGTGAAAAAGTGTAATGCAAAATTCCGAATTCGACTTTCGTTGTCTTTTCAAAGAGCCGTCGCTTTTTTCGCGTGTGGTCTCAGGATTCCGGTATGAAACTCATTGCAGGTGACATCTGATTACCTTCAGACATTAACTAAATGAAAGAAAGAAACGCTAGCTCGAATAGAGGCTGCACAGAGAACCAGATTATGATGAATAGTCGTGGGAGAATGGAGGTTGCACCTTCATCCCCGCAGGCCAGTCGAGATGATTCAGTACCGAGGCCGCCCGGGCCACTGCAAATCACCCTCTCTGCAACTCTGTTTAATGCAGAGCCGACTCTGATTTTTGTGACTTGCGTGTACTGAGTAGTTTTGCGTTCTCGACGAACAATGTTCGGCGACTTTAATGGTATTTTTTACGCGCGTGCGTTTACGCAGCGCGGTCCATTACGCAGCAGTCACGAAAACAGGCCGATACCTGGGAAACATGCCTGCCGCTTAATGAGCAGCCGGCACGCACCTCTAATTTTGTCGAGTGTTGCGTATTTGTACAGGCGCAGACAAACAGGCGACGCGCCCGACCTCGGCGATCCGATCGATGACCTTGCAAATGAAGGGGTGCTGCGAACAGCGAAACGTACCCGCTGTCCCCGTGGACTGAACACTTGTTTTCACAAACAATCTATTAGTCACTGTTTGAATGAAACGCTGATTTGTTTGTGGTATCCTACCCTAGAGTATGAGTCGTAGCGTCCAGCCAATACAAGCTGCTGGGTTTTTGCTCATAATTATGCTTACAAAAGATTTCAAGTTGTGGACAAAGTGAACACTCCGATCACAGAGATGAAAGGATACGTTGTGTTGCTAACACCCCCTCCTGTCGTTCCGCAGGAGGCCCCGTCCCCGGTCACCAGCGGCGGAGGCGTGGCGGCGTACCCGTGCTACGACCAGCACGGCTACGTCCGACCGCCCAGTGGCGGGCTGAGGGCGTTCTACACGAGCTCGCCGAGCACGCCGGCCGAGTACGCCCCGACCACGTCCGCGCTGAGCGACTACGGCCGCTACGGCGGCTACGGCGAGTACGGTGCGGCGGCCGGCCAGTACGTGGTGGACAGTCAGCTAAAGCCCGGCACACTAGCCACCCACGTGTGACCCTCGCCCGGCCGGCCCGGCCGCTGGCTCGTGTAGCTCCGGGGCACGGCCGGCGCCCCGCGGGCGCCGGGGGCGCAGGGGCGTCCGGGCGCGGCCGACCGGCACTGGCGGGCGCCCTCACCTTCCCCCGAAGAACGGTGTGTGCCAAAGAGGGGTGCCGCGCAGATGAAGCGGCTTAGAGTGCCGAACAGAACTGCCAGAGTTGTTAGTGACGTGCCGAACTTTGCGAGAGTGTGCGTGCTTTGTTCGTTTTTGTTGAGAGTGGACAAAGAAAAGATACGGATATGTAGTGCGCGGACATTACGTGTGTGTATATGACTATGTTTTAGGTGGTCAACTGCGCGAATCATCACATGGAGCAATGGTGAAGTGTTTTGTCACTGTGTCGATGTTTTCTACTCTAGTTCGATGTATTGCGACTGTGATAATTTGTAAATAAAGATGCTATGACCTGTGAATGGGGTGTGGTTTGGAAATCCCTAGCGCCTGAATAAGACCATGGACCTTTTATCAAGAACTTGGAAGATCTGAAGTCCAGCAATCAATTCGTAGTAAGGGAATGTCGGACTCTCCTCAAACCTTATGGGTAAAACTTTGATTTCTTTGTGAAATTCATAAGAACCAATCACATTTGTAATGCCTCATATAAAAACGGTTGCTGACTAACTTGCAATATAAGCCACTTGCATCTGGTTTTGGGAATAGATTGTGAATAATGAATCACAATTTCATTTTGCTGGATTCAGTTAACAGATGACAAATCGCTTCTAATCAGGACAACACACAGACCGATCCAAATATGCACTCCGGACGAACTTACCTGCCATACACAATCAGGACAATCCATCATTGAAGAGCCTCACTCACTAAATGACACACAATCGATTCAGGAGTAGATAAATGATGTCTACGAAATTCAGCCTTATATCGATCGACATGCAATGACTGGTCCTTTCGTATTCTAGCATGCAACACCACTGGTTCTAGGAACTGACTGGATAATTTTATGTCAGCTCGTGCTCACTGTCCACTGAATACATCGCGTGTTCTCTCCGGCCGCTGTCACATTACAAAGTCCAACCGGACACTGCTACCAGCAAGTGCGCTTATTTTCCTCGGCCCGTCTCCGTCAGGGAGCGCTTCGCGTGCGGCTCGTGCTGCTCGCTGGACCGTAGCCTGGCCGACCGGACCAGGACCTGTTGAGTCGCACTGATGTCTCGGCAAAAAGAATGAGCCGTAAATGCCGTCCGAATCTGACAGACATCAGCAGCTGAGATTGAGCCCGCGGCGGCGGCGGCGGTGGCGACGCTGGAGCAGTGTGGTTCTCGGAGCAGCGCGTCCGCTCGTGCTGGAGGGATTAGCTCTGACTTGACTGCGCTTGTCACTGCTCTAGTATTTATCAGGGTAGACTAAAGACGCCAAAGATGACATGGCGGTCGCGATACATGAAATTATAACGGTTTGCAGGGTGATTTAATCGCCTGTGCTGTCAACGGAAGTGAAACAAGGCAGGTGCAAATTGAGCACAGCTTTTTAGAGATACGAGTATATGGTTGCTCACTTCAAGTCCGTTTCATTCTTTTTATATTGTAATCGAAACGTCAGAGGCCATGGTGGACCGTAGCACAATCACGCTGTCGCGTTTGTTCAGTTCTTTTTCGTAAATTTCAAACCAAGGTTCAGTTGTTCTGAAATGTGCGATCTTCTGTTCTTCAAAGAACGGTTTTAGCATGATCGAGGCGACTTCGATTCGAGACGGGTCTCTTAGTATTGGCGCCACGACTCTTGTAAAGTGAAACTGCACAATTGGGTTTGACCTTTCCGCCGTGATTTAGACGACCGCCGGTTACCGCCAGACGCTGCTCATAGCCGCAGATCGACCAATTGGCCCGGGTTTACGGTTCCCGGCCGATCTGCAGCAATTAAAGTCACCTGTACTTACGGTCGGTGTCGAGCAGCCCTGGTCGATAGAGGCCCAAAATCCGGAATGGACTGAAACAGACTTGTAGACGTTTCCGAAGGGCTTAAAGGTGATCTTTTATAACAAGTCCCGAGACATAGTTATAACTTCAAAGTCAAAAGTTTCTAAACCATGCTTACATTTTTGTAACTTAATTCAGAACATTTTGGAAGGACCTGCATATTAAATACGTTACTGGGTTTCCTCTACCCAACTGCATTTTAATTTTGCATGCGATTTAGAAAATTGTATTTATATAACAAATATTTCATTTGTCAGTGAACACCATGTATGCGACCGTGTAGGGCTCACTAATGCAATTTAGCAATCGTGTAGCGCTCTATAATCATTACGCTACATTATTAAGGTTTCGCTCTGGCACTGCCTCTGTTGCAAAGTGCACTTTGGTCAGCAGCCCATCGCCAGTCGTGTGGGTGTCTGGAATGTGGCTCTGCGGCGCTGCGGCTGACAAAATATATACCTTGGCCGGTGAGCCGGTCGCTGGGCAATCAGCGGCCCTGATATATGCGCTGCAGTTGGAGCCCATGCACCTGCCGCAGTGCTGGCCGGCGCCGGTGGTGACGGGTGTGACCGTGCTCTTGCACGGATGACTGAGCACGCCGGGGTCGGTCGTAGAGGAGTTAAAGGGCAGCGTCAAAGAAAGGACGCCGTGGTGCTGAAAGTAGTACTGAAGGTAGCGATGTAAGGTTAGTGGTTGTGGTAATACATAGGTGATGTGTTAAGTGGTAGCAGAGAAGGTATTGTAACGATCAACGCCTGCTTAGATGGCCTAACTAAGTTCGTACAACCATGGAAATAAAGTCCCGTTATCTATTTATTCGTCATCATACACAGATTGTGCCAGCTTTCTTCAGCCAATTGCTGTGCGGCATACTGAGAAGCTTATGCAGATGGCTCAACATTGGCACAATTCACTCTTCTGAAAATCATTCTCATACCGTTCTGTTCTGCATCTGTCATGAATAATAGTGAACACAGTCTAGGCATACCTAATAACTTATTCCTGCATCTCCACTACCGAATCCACTGCCTTTACTTAGCACTACTATTTCGCTATTTTCTCTCTCTCTCTCTCTCTCTCTCTCTCTCTCTCTCTCTCTCCTCTCTCTCTCTCTCTCTCTCTCTCTCTCTCTCTCTCTCTCTCTCTCTCTCTCTCTCTCTCTCTCTCTCTCTCTCTCCTCTCTCTCTCTCTCTCTGTCTCTCTCTCTCTTTCTCTCTCTCTCTCTCTCTCTCTCTTTCTCTTTCTCTTCTCTCTCTCCTCTCTCTTTTCACGTCTCGCTGACGAAGTATGACCATCTTCAATCAGCCGCATCACCTAATTGTTGTTCAGATCCCGGCCTAGATATCATTGTTTTCTCCCCTAAACGAATGTCCGTTTCCACAGAGGAGCGACAAAGGTCTGTGAAAAGCGTGGGACGCCCCGTTAGTCGTGTTAACCGTCGCCCGGCCATCGGTGCCACACAACAAACCACCGAACAATGCCAGAGGACCCGGCGCCACGCAGGATAAATGACTCGACGCGATGTCGGACGGAAAAGGAGCCAGACGGGAGCAGATGAGATCGACTCGGGACGGAGGTGGGAGGGGAGAGGAACGGAGCGAGGCGGGGGAAAAGGGCGATTAGTCGAGGGAGGTGAGAATGAGGCGAAGTAGTGACTAAAGAAGAGGCGATATAAAATGATGTAAAAGATGATGCAGGATATTTGTTGATGGTTGCAGACAGACAGACACGGATATTTACTTTTGACGGGAAGAAGACGGAGTGGAAGTAAAACAGAGTCGAAATGGAGGGATACAGAGCGGGATGGAATTACGAGTAGAAGGCAGAACGACGATTAAACGGAGACGAAACAGAGGCGGAACGGAGACGGAACGGAGACCAAATGGATGGAGACTAGTTGGAGAGGGAAGGAGACGGGACAAATGTTGAACGGAGAGAGACCAAACGGAAGGAGAATGAGACGGGAAGAAGCCAAATCTGAAGCGGATAAACGGATCTGACACAACCGAAGACAAATATGGCCGGACGCGCGCACTGCCTCGGGAAACGTGACGGCGATGGGCGCGCTGGCCGGTCATTAGTGGTACGGAGCCCGGATTAATCAGGGAGACGGGATTGGGTCGGAATGATGTCCGCCCGAGGACCGGACCGCGATCGTTAGCGGGCCGGCGGGCAGAGCGAGAGGAGGGAGGAGAGAGGAGCGGAGTTTCACGGTCACCTGCCGACCTCGCCGGACGCGGCGGTCACAGTGCGAACAGATAGGACCACTTGTTTTTGTGGCGTGGTCATTGTGCTCTCTGAGAGGTGCGGACGGAGGCCGAGCGGCGGTCCGGCGCGGTGTCAGATGTCAGCACCGTCCGAGTCAGGTGTCAGCGGCTGCTGTGTCAGGTGTCATCGGGATGACCAGACGGCGCGGCGGTCCGCACACAAAAACTGCCCTCCTCTTCTTGTCTCGCCGCTGCGTACAAAAAGCGCCACCGGCATACATGCGGTTTTTATTGCGGGACATCTATTCTCCGTGTAATTACCGGAGGTCGAGCCGCCGCGATAATCAGAGTTTACGAGCTGCGGCACAACTTCCCCGGCCGGCCCGGGAGCAGTCGGCGCCGCCGCGCTCCCCCGAACGCCGGGTTATTACATCCGCAACGGCCCGCTTTAGTGGCCGATGATATCCATGAAGTGCCGTTTGGAATGTGATGTGGTGAATCGGAGCCGGTCGCCGCGCCGGCCGGGAGGTCTGAGATGGTCCGCCGCCGACCGGCCGGCCGATGGCACTGCCTGATCGGAGCGTTGATACGGTCTGCTCCGCCGGCCGAGGACAAGGAGCAGAGCCGGACGAGGGGCCACCCACCGCCGACCGGCCGCCGAGCAGTGCAGAGCACCAACGAAACCGAACCGGTTTATCTGAACACCGTTCGGCTGAGCTGCCCGTCCCATCCGCCCCACCGCACCCGTCAGTACCGTCCATCCCCCACTCATCAGCTCCCCCCCCCCCTACCGTCTACGGGAGTCCTCCTGGCTCCAGTGACCTCTGAACAAACTCCGGCACTCTGCAGCAGTAGTCGAGACGGCCGTGAAGGTCAGCAGCAGCAGCACTGCGGCCGGGGTGGGCCGGACTACTCCTCGGTCGCCTCCTCGGCCACCACAGCCGCCGGCAGCGGGAGCGGCAGCTCGGCCGTTTGCACCTGCCGTCTGGCGTCACCCCGGTCAAACCGGCCCCAGCGAGAACCGGACCCCGGCCGGGTCGGTCCACGGCGGACTGGTCCGAGCGTGGGACCGCGAGGAGGACCGGCGATGGGTTGGTGGTAAACATACGGTCGAGGCAAAGGGGCTACATTGGTGGGGAGAGAGGGAGAGAGAGAGAGAGAGAGAGAGAGAGAGAGAGAGAGAGAGAGAGAGAGAGAGAGAGAGAGAGAGAGATGGAAAGAGGAAGAGATATAGAGTATGAAGATGTGTTATGTTGAAGTTATTGAATC